GTGAGCGTTTAATCTGGTTCCAGATGTTTAAGGGAATGATTTAAACAGTTTCAGTGTTAAGATATTTAATATGGATGCTTGACAGATATTATTTATTAGATTGAGGAAGGTACTAGCCTTATTTTACTATGATTGTGATCCATGCATGGGTGTTGAGTTTTATCATATATTTTTGTTCTGCATATTTAGAGGTGATCATCTACCATTGAAAATAATCTTCCTAGTGATATTAGACCCATGTGGCCGGTTTGATGGGAAACTAAGAGATGAGATAAAGATTCTAAAGACTAATTTCTTGCAATTTTTCAAAACATCAACTTCCAATAGAGCATCTCAAAAGTCACCTCCCACAGTCAGATGGTTGGAGAGGAATTCAGGTATTGTCATGTACCACAAGTAATTCATCACGTGCTAAGTAGGGACGTGCCAGGGTGTTGTTAACTGGAGACTATTGCCTCAAAGGCCTAAAGAACAGCATGCTTCCCAATGGGTTATTTGAACAATATGCGATTATTATGGGCCGATGCCTGGGGCTTGGATATATTTTTGTTAAGGTGAAATTTTCTTTGTAATGGACTTTGTTATAATGGAATTTGATCTCCATTCATCTCACTTACCCGTTCTCCCTCTGGCGGTTTTGATAACCTTGCTCCCTATGCAGCAGCCAGCCCAGCTGAGTCTAAGGAGCCTAACAGGCCTCTAATTTGTGACCAAAGGCTCTCCAACAGGGCTCTCTCCTGAGAAGCCCCAGATCTCTTTGATTTACCAAGCATCCATCCATCATCCATGGCCTTACTCAATCTTCTTTCCCAGGGTTTTTATCATCTTACATGGCGTAGCTCTCTCCGAACGCTCCCAGCCTGTATAGCCACAACCTGTGTTTGTCCCACTTTGTGGATGACGAACAGTTGTGTTCTAGAGGGTTCTGAGTTCTCATTTCCAGCTTGTGTGAGTGCTGTGTCTGTCTGGCAGGGTGGTAGCCGGTTATAGGATGAGCATAACAGTCTCATACCACAGGTTTTGAATAAAGGCACATCTGCCATCTACCTTGCAATGACTTTTGGAGTTTTAATTCATAAATTTGGCCTAGAAGGAGGGTGTGCACAATGCAGCCTGCCATATCACCACTCCAGCCTATACCATTCAAAGGATATGCCCCACAGGCATTGGTTTTGTTGGGTAATCTAAGTGCAAATAAATCATCCTTCTTCTCCTGAGTGCTTTGTTTTGTGTCCTAAACATTTGCTCTATTTATTTAATCATTTTATTTTTTGTCTTATTCTATACATAGTCCGATTCTGCAAGAAGTTACAACATGGAAGTTACTTATGGCATTTCAATTGAAGTGTGAAAAGAGAGGGTCAAGGGCCCCCCCTCACCTGACCTGTTTCCTCTGCCAAGATACCCAAAGTCTCATCATTGATGGCCCCTGAGAAAATGCGACTCAAGGTTGGATGGTGTAAATTGTTGTCACTCTCAGGCCATGATTAATTAATTAATCAGCTCAGTCAGAGATTTGGGTGGGGCCCACAGGAAGTACAGGGCTTCCCTGGTGCCTCAGTGGTCAAGAATCCACCTGCCAATGCAGAAGACTGGGGTTCAGTCCTTGGGTCGGGAAGATCCCCTGGAGAAGGAAATGGCAACCCACTCCAGTATTCCTGCCTGGAGAATCCCATGGACAGAGGAGCCTGGTGGCTATAGTCCATGGGGTTGCAAAGAGTTGGACATGAGTTAGTGACTAAATTGCAACAAGAACAACACAGGAAGTATAACACAACATTCATTCATTCAGAAAACTTTCATTAATAAGAACTAGTGAGCATGTGCCAGTGCTCTGTGATTCAAAGATATGGCCCACGCCCTCCCCTAGACAGACAGAGAGTCACATGGTGTCTCTGAAAGAGCCCTGGACTGGGGCCTTGGATTCTTGTACCACCTGACTCTCAGATCTGAGCACTCAGTGAATTAGGGAGCCCCTCGGGGAAAGGGTAGAATAGGATCCAGGTCAGGCCTGCTATGAGCGGAATCGGTATTATGTTCACCTGGTTCAGTCCTCAAAGGGAAATTCCTTTCTCCTGTCCTCATGCCTCAGGGGCCCAGTTCTATCTTCCCACTCAAGCGGGGCACCATTGGTGTTGGCTCCTTGCTTATCCTTTCAAAGATTTTTAAAAGTGGGCTAGTCCATGGGCTTTCCTGGTGGCTCAGACAGTAAAGAATCTGCCTGAAGTGCAGGAGACCCGGGTTCAATCCCTGGGTCAGGAAGATTCCCCTGGATAAGGGAATGGCAACCCACTCCTGTGTTCTTGCCCAGAGAGTCCCCATGGACAAAGAAGCCTGGCGGGTTACAGTCTGTGGGGTCACAAAGAGTCAGACACTACTGAGTAACTAAGCACTTTACACTTAACCCATCCAAGTCTATCTTTTGTATCCCTTTTCATTTAACACAGGATACAGTGCACCATCAACCCTGTCCTGCCCTCTGTGTTTTTCCAGTTAGCAAGAAGTCTTGGAGATCTTTCCATGTCAATACTGAAAGATCTTTAACCCTTTTCTTTTAAAATACTTAGATAGAATTCCATTGTATGCATGTTCACTAATTTAAACAGTTCCCATATAGGTGGCAATTTGGCCACTTCCATTCTTTTGCTATTTCAAAACAATGCTGAAATGTATAAGGTTGTGTTTATATCCTTTTGCTGCTGGCAATTATTATCAGTAAGATAGTCCCTAGAAAGTGGAGTTTGTGGTTGAATCAAGGATAAACACATTGCTGATTTTGAAAGTGTGATTATTTTTTTTCTGACACCAAATGTGTGGTGTCTTTTCTAGCACCCATTCTCTGATCATTCAACTCAATTCTGATACTATTTATCTGAAGTTAGTGTTATACTCCACAGAGTTAAGATCATCCCCCAAGACTGTCCCCACTTTAGCCATGAACAGAGTGCCTGCCAGCTAAATCTGGGGGCTCCCATGACAGCCCCCTTGACTTCCATCTGATAATTCACTAGAATGACTCACAGGCGTGCTAAGTCCTGCTTTGGCAAAAGGGTACTTTACCACTAGTGCAGGACTTAGCACACATGTGAACCACACTAGTGAATTATCAGATGGAGGTCGAGGGTGACTCACAGAACTCAGTAAAGTGGTTTACTTCTATTACTGCCTTTTTTTTTGGCTGGGCCATGTGTCCTGCAGGATCTTAGTTCTCTGGCCAGGGATTGAACCTGGGTTCCCTACAGTGGAGGTGCAGAGTCCTAACAACTGGATGGTTTATTATAAAGGATGCAGGAGCAGCCGAATGGAAGGGCCAGGTCTGTGTGTGTATGTATGCATGTGTGTGTGTGTGTGTGTGTGTGTGTGTGTGTGTATGCGCATGCGCACATGTGCAGAACTCCCATGCCCTCTCCAAGTGCACCCTTCCCGGCACATCAGTGTGTTCACCAACTTGGAAACTTTCTTGTTCAAGTTTTGATGTCCTCATCTCTGGTCCCCCTCCCCGCCCCAGAGGTCAGGGAGGGAGCTGAAACTTCCTGCCTTCTAATCAACATCAGTTTGATGAGCAGCCTCCATCCTGAACCTATCTAGGGACCCTGCCCCAAGCCACCTCTTTAGCATAAACCCAGCTGGTTGACAGTGCCTCCTTGTGAATAACTAGACTCTCCTATCACTTAGAAAATTCCAAGGGTTTTAGGAGCTCCATGCCAGAAACCAAGGACAAAAACCAAATATATATATTTTTATTATGTTACAGAAATAGAGTCAAAATATCCCAGGACATCAGTTTACCTCTCCACTCTTTCCATCAGTGAACGAGAGTGTCTGTGTCCCCACAGCCTTGCAGCCAGCCTGCTACTGAGACTTCTGCTTTCTGCCACCTTGATGGTGAAAAATGGAATCTCAGAATCGTTTTAATTTGTATTTTATTCTGAATGAGGCTGAGCATCTTTTCTTTTATTGGAGAGCCACCTCTATTTTGCATAGCTAAGTTTTGAGGGAAAGAGAATGGATGGGTTCAGAACTTGTTATTTCTTAGCAGAGAGGAGTGGCCGGGGTTTCCTGCAGAAGAAGGTCAGAAGGTCAGAGGTGGGCTAAAGGTCACAGTTTTTTCATACACACTTCTATTAGAGTTTTTCTCATCTGCAGCCCACTCCCAGGTCCACAGTGAGCCTCAGAGTGAGTGAGTTGCACTCCCCTTGGTAGGACATCTCAGGTCCCTGGTGGATCCTCCCATAGGCGGTTTCTGGATCAGCTGAAGTGACCCTGCCGAGGGCCTATTGTGAGAGCCTGGCTCCTGTGTTTTGCTGATCACTGTGTTCTGATGCACTTGGGACAATCAGAATTCTGGGGCAAGGAGAGCCCTGGCCTCTGGCCTCACCCAGCCCCTGTCTTTCCTGTTGACAGTGAGGGTGAAGCTGTCCTGGGGGCCAGGACCTTGTTGCATATCCGAGAAAGGAGAAGAATAATCTGTGAGACCCCTGTCCTTGAAACAATGGAAAGAGGAGACAGAGAGAAGGAGAGAATTATGGTCATGTCATCCCAGGGACGGCTTTTTGCTGTCAGCCTGGTTGGTGCAGATCCATGTCTATCCAGGGGCCCTCACTCTGGGATGTGGGGCTTCAGACAGGCATCAGAAACATGGCTGGGACTTTGGGGGGCTTGGAGGTTTTGTCTCTTCCTAGAAAAGTGTAGGAAACAGTCCTGGCTACTAGGGCTGGGGAGTGAGCTGTCCCTGCGAGGGACAGGGACAGGTGAGCTGTCCCCACCCAAGATGTCACACATCTCCTCCTGGAAGACAAGAAACTGGACCCTTCTGGGGCATGGATGAAGGGCAGGAGGCAGCCCCCTTGAGAGAGGATCCTGCTGAAAGGGTGATTGACCTCACCCTTGTCCCTGTCCTGAACCTATGCCCACTCGCAGCCTTGAGCACAGATGCCTAGCGAGTGAGAGAGTAAGTGCCCCGCTCTCAGTGGTTGTTTCCACTCTGTATATTTCAAAACACTGTTAAGATGCAGCTGTAGTTTACACCTGTTTCTATTCTGTGATGCTTGACTTGGTTTGCACATCTGTGCAATGCTTGTGAAAGTTCCTGTAACCTTTCCATCTCTGGGAATCTTAAGCATCTCAACGACTGGTTGCTCAGATCTTCTCCAGGAAGCCAAGTTAGGAAGGTTTACTTCCCAGCAGGCACGGTGTCTCCACCTGAGTTTTAGCATACCTGAGGCAGAGTGCTGCCCACAAGGTGATGGATGGAGGTCCCGGGCAGCAGGGTCTTTTGGCAGCAGTCTGCCTGGAGTCTGATGAGCAGCCAACTCGGAATGAAGATAAAGCACCGGTGAGCTTTGATGGACGATGGGCAAAGCTTGTCTTGAAATTGGTCTCTCAAAACAATATACAAACTAATACACAAATCAATGCAAAGTGTTTAAAGTGGCAGGAAAACTCAGCCCATCGATCACACTTAAGCAGGGGAGGGGGCTGTGGAGTTTGGCAATTGCCTGAGTCCCCAAGGCCCCTTGGGAAGGAAACTGTCTCTGGGAACTGACAGCCAGATTTAGCATCTCCCTCCTGAGCATGGACCCCCGTATGCTTTGAAGGAGGTAAAGGGGAGAGAGTTCCTGGCTCTGGCCATGTACCTGTGCTGGATGGGGCAAGTCCAGGCCCTGTCTCTTCATCCCCCCCACTGGCCACTCCATGGAGGGACTGAACCTTTGGAGGGGGCGCCCTGAGGTGGGTGATAGCTCCAAGCCTTGTGCTGGTGATGATGTCAGAGAGTTGGTCTCAATTTAGGGTAACTAAGCACCCAGGAGCATGGGGACCTGTGACCAGCTTACACTTCATCTCTCAGGCATATATGTTTAATATGTGTCTTTGTTTTTAATAAAAATTATATATATTTATGGTGTAAAACATCTTGGTGTACATACACAGTGAATTGATGGCTACAGCCAAGTACATCTACAAAGTGAATTGATGGCTACAGCGAAGCTAATTAGCATATGCATCACCTCACATGGTTACTCTGTGTGTGTGTGTGTGTGTGTGTGTATGGTGAGAGTACTTGAAATCTGCTCTCTTAGCAAATGTCCAGTATTCAGTAGAGGATTGTTAACTACAGTCACCACACTGACACGGGATCTCTAGACTTACTTGTCGTATGTGACAGCCACTGTGTACCCTTTGACCCCAGTTTCCCCAGCTCCCTGCCCCTGGCAACCATCCTTCTATTCTCTGCTTCCAGGTATTCGACTCTTTCAGACATAACTGAGCTAGATCATGGCGTACAAGGGTTTGTCTTTCTGTATCTGATTTACTTCCCTCAGCATAATGCCCTTCAGGTTTATCCATGTCGGCAAAAGTAGCAGGATCGCGCTCTCTCTCCTTTGTATTTTTAGGGCTGAACGCTATTCCATTGTAGGTAGTACCTGTCTCTTTATGCAGTCATCTGTCAATGAACACTTAAGTTTCCATGTCTTGGCCATTGTCAGTAATGCCACAGTGACCTTGGGGTGTTCCTCGGCTCTCACGCCAGCCCTGTTCCTCCTACCTTCTGCCCATCTGGGGTGACTCACTTCTTTCTTCATTCTCTGAATAATTACACTGTCTACTTTGGACCATTTCTTCCACTGAAATCAAGGTCTTAACTTCATAGCAACCTTATTTAATCTAGAAGTTTCTTAACTGGTATAGGAGGGGAATAAACATAACTTATGTTCATAGCAGGCCCTGCAGCCTGCAGAGTCCTGTCATGTACGTGGTTGGTAGTTTCATCTCCGTTTGATGGGAGAGGAGCTGACGTTCAGAGACATGAAGCACTGGGGCCAGACTGCTGGAAGGGAAAACCTAGTAGGAACGTGGAACTGAAGTTGTGCTGCATTTCTCAAACCCTTGACCACAGAAGCAGGCCTCTGGCAAGGAGACTATATTCATCCTAGCTTCCATGAAGTCTCTGGGGAAGCGTCAGCAACTCCATCCTTTGCACCTGTTGTTATGGTTTCTGACCTTATCTTAGTCAGTGCTAGCCATGCCCAGCACCTTATTCCTGTGCCTTAATTGGCCAGGAAATTGGCCAGAGTAAAAGAAGGGTGCTTTTTAAGAATTTCCTTCTCCATGACTCAAAGCTGAAAGAATAATCCTGTGTCTCATCATCAGGATAAGGACTAAGGATTGGAAGCCCCCAGCAAAGGGGCTTATAACTCACAGGGGCAGAGAGCCCGTCCCCCCATCTCAAGGCAGTCTCCACACCTTCCAGCCAGGTGTGTTCCCAGCTGACCCTCGGGTATTTCCAGGGCAGGAAAGGAGGTGGCCTTCTTCTGGAGCTCATCCCCGTGATTTCCAAAGCCCTTGCCTAGGAGAGGAGTTCCTTCTCAGTCCCTCCTTCTGTAATTTTGATGCATGGTCTTTGGTTGGTCTGTGTTGTGTTATGATGTCTCACACCTGTGAAGTCATTCCCTGAACCTATGGGCTGTTCTCTGGGCCCGTGGGGCTCACCTCTGGAGTGTATGGTCACTCCTGGGTGTCTAGTCGTACAGAGGGTGTGGGCGAACGGGAGGCCCCCTGAGGAGAGGGAGCAAGTGGTGTGGATGGGCCACTGCGCCAGAAGGAGAATGGTCCAACAGTCTGTATACGATGGAAAAGGGACTCAAGTTACTGATTGGGGTTTCAAGGAGGTACACTTGGGAAAATGCAGGGATGTGTGGAGATGAGAATCACAGAAGTGGGAGCTGTGGGGAACGTGGCTGGAGAGAAAGGCAGGGATCTGGGCCTGCGGGCTGAGCACCATGCCAGGGAGTTTGGTCCTGAGGGCAGTAGGGAGACAGGGACGGTCAGCATACAGTAGCAACCTGCTTAGATGTGTGTTCTGAGGTCAGTAGGAGGCTGTATGCAGGAGGGCTTGGAAGGGGCATGACCAGAGGCAAGGGAGGCCCTCGGAGGCCTGAGCAGTGTCCACCTGCACCTAAAGTGGAAACTTTTGTCTCTTCCACGGGGCTAGGCGTTGCACAGGCTACTCCTTCCCTCAAAGGCCGGGATCTCAGATGAGGTGCAGGTGAGGATGTGTGAGGTGGAGGAGGGGTTGCCTGAAGGAGGGGTCCTGCGGTGGATCACTTGGAGTCTGATCACCCACTGAGCTGCTGTCCTGAGAACAGCCATCACGTGAAAGCCCACAGCTGCTCTCTCGCCACTGTCTGGGTGCCCCCACTTAGTCCAGCATCTGGGCCCTGGCAGCTGCTGCTGGGAAGGCCAGAGAATTCCAGGTTCCCCTTGGGAGGAGAGGAGAATGTGGGCTTCCCTTGTGGCTCAGCTGGTAAAGAATCTGCCTGCAATGTGGGAGACCTGGGTTCAGTCCCTGGGTTGGGAAGATCTCCTGGAGAAGGGAAAGGCTCCCCACTCCAGTATTCTGGCCTGGAGAATTTCATGGACTGTATAGTCCATGGGGTCACAAAGAGTCAGACACGACTGAGCGACTTTCACTTCAGAGGAGAAGCCCCCCAAAATGATTCACAGAGGGGCAAGTAGCAGGGTTTTCTGAATTTTCAGAAACCAGCTCCTTGGTTTCTGCTGACATAAAGAAAAGCCCCAAAGCACTGGTTTTCATAGACACACAGAAGGGCCGAGGCTGGAGCTCATCCCAGGGAAGCCTTTGGGGGCAGTGGCTCAGCTTTTACCTGCTGGGGCCCAGGGAGGTCCAGGCCCGTCCCATCACAATTTTTTTTTTTAATCATGGCAAAATATACATCACACAAAATTTCCCATCTTTACCATTTCTCAGTGTGCAGTTCAGTAGCGTTAGATTCATTCACGTTGTTGTGTGACCAATTTCCAGAATTATTTTCAGCTCTCAGAACTGAAACTCTGGACCCATGAAACAGTAACTCCCCATTCCTCCTTTCCCCAGCTCCCAGAAACCAACTTCTACTTTCTGTCTCTGTAAGTCTGACTGCTCTAGGCACCTCTTACAAGTGTAATCACATAGCGCTTGTCTTTTTGTTTCACGTAGCGTAATGTCTTCACAGTTCTTCCCTGCAGCTGGTATCAGAATTTCCTTCCTTTTTAAGGCTGAATAATATTCCATTGTGTGTATACACTACATCTGGTGTATCTGTTTGACTGTTGATGGACATGTGGGTTACTTCCACCTTTTGGCTAATGTTGCTGTGAACATGAGGGTATAAATATCTCCTTGAGACCCTGCTTTCAGTTCTTTGGGGTATGTTCACCCAGACGTGACATTGCTGGATCATATGGTAATTCTACTTTCAATTCTTTAAGGAAGCACTGTGCTGCTTTCCACACTGGCTGCCCCAGTGGCCACCTCAGCTGATTTACGACATGACTGTAAGCCACAGGGCCACCATGGGAGGCGGGGTGCAGACTGTGTCACGGCCGTGTTGGGCACGTCATTCAACAACCACACAACCGCACTCTCATGAGCCCTGGGGTGGGGGTGGGGAGCAGGGAGCAGTAGAATCTGTCAGTCAACTGTAGCTCAAAATCACTTTTGTTCAACTTCAGAGCCTTGGGTTTAAAGGTATAAAGTTCCCCCTAAATGTACATTTAAGAAACTATAGATATTTTGAATAAACTTCTTGAGTTATAGGTTGTGTAGAGGGATAATTACCTTATATCCTTTATTCACTTTCTTTTTGTTATGATGAGAAATTTCAGAACCTCTCATGCCACACAGAACCTTTATCTGAGGATCTCCAGACTGCAAGGACTGTTTTGCTACTCAGTTCCAGGAGATATCCTGAAGTTAGAAGATGCAGGAACTAGCATCTCTGACTGCTGCTCCGCTGAGGCGCGGTGGAGTGGACTCTGACTGGGGTGTCCTCTTAGACTCCCTCCTCTGGGCCTTGGCTCCCAGCCGCCATTTTCTGCTGTCTCCCCGCCTGGCTGCTTCCTGACTAAGGGACTCACTACTGACCCACACTGAAACCGTTCAGATCCTTCTAAAAACCTGGGCCTGTGTCTAAGGCAGGGGTCGGTCAACTAGCCAAATCCTGCCTACTGCCAGCCTGTTTTTGTAAATAAAGTTTTGTTAAAATGAGGCCACATGCCCATCCATTTATGTATAGACCAGGGCTGCTGTTACCAATAATGGTAGGGTGGTGCCAGAGACAGGATGGCCCACAGAGCTGAAAATATTCTCTACCCAGCATTTAAGGAAGAAGCTTGCCAACCCTTGGTATATGGGCAGCCAATCAGTCTCTGTGAAGGGTTGGGCCACATGTGAGAGCCCCCACATTCTGCCATGTAGACTGAGGAGAAGAGAAAGCCAGTCTGTAGACAGAGAGGCCTGGAGGTGGGGGATGAGAGGAGGAGAACAGACCACAGTAGCCTTTGGGACCTCAGTTCAGTCTCCTTCCTAAGATTACTGGAACTCATTGGTTTCTCCTAGACCCTTGTGATAAAGCCATCTTTTTTTTTTTTTTTTTTTGCTTAAGCCCAATTAGGTCTCTAGTTTTGCCATCTCAGTTCAGTTCAGTTCAGTCGCTCAGTCATGTCTGACCCTTTGCGACCCCATGGACCGCCACATGCCTGGCCTCCCTGTCCATCACCAACTCCTGGAGATTACTCAAACTCCTGTCCATTGAGTCAGTGATGCCATCCAACCATCTCATCCTCTGTTGTCCCCTTCTCCTCCTGCCTTCAATCTTTCCCAGCATCAGGGTCTTTTCAAATGAGTCAGCTCTTCGCATCAGGTGGCCAAAGTACTGGAGTTTCAGCTTCAGCGTCAGTCCTTCCAATGAACATTCAGGACTGATTTCCTTTAGGATGGACTGGTTGGATCTCCTTGCAGTCCAAGGACCACCTAGAGTTCCAGAAATACTCTGGAGCATCTCTGTGCCTCCCGCTACTCAAAGGCAAGTGGCAGACCAGCACGTCAAACTCACTCAGGAGATCCTGCTTTCCCTCCATCCTTTCCTTGGAGCCAGTGAGTCTCTCCTGGCCCTGCCCGGGGAAGCAGGTGTGCACAAAGTTTGGCAGCTGTGCTGACAGAGAGAAAAAGTTGTTGCTGAGGAGCCCAGGATCGGAGCCCCAGTGCGTGGCCTCTCATTCTTGACTGACAGCCACTGCGTCCTCCCGGCAGGAGCTTGGAGTGGCCTCCGAACCCTGTGCATCCCAGCAGCTGCAGTCGGGCAAAAAGCCAGAAGCTTCCAACCCTGGCCTTTCTGCCCTTGAGCACTTTGAAACATTTCTCTCCAGTCCAGCTTGAATTTCTTTTGGTAACTTTTAATAAAAATGGGCTCAAATGTAATCTGGAGTGGAACACTTCTCAAACTGGCGGCCTATTAAAGACAAACACAGTGTTTGGCACAGAGTGGACCAGCAGCTGTAGTTTCAATTCGTAGCAGAATTCAAACAAATTCCTGAGGAGGGCTTTTGGTTCAAGACGGCAGCTGGAACACATGATTTCATCTTTGTTACTCCCTAATATTTCACTGGAATAAAATGATAAATAATACCTATCATGGCAAAGAAATGGGAGCTGGGGGGAGATTGCCAGTAAGCAAGAAAGTTCAACCCTTTCCTGGAAGATGGAATAAATGGAATTTGTGATACATGCAGCAGTCAAAAAAGCATCAACCTGGAATGGAAGAGGGCAGCAGTGGATGTGAGAACCAGAAAGCCTGGTAGAAACTGAGAGCGTTCTGGATTCATAGTTTGCAGCCACAGTGGGAGGCCGGAATAAGAAATGAGGTTCACAGAGGAGGGATGGTTGAGTTGGTGTGGCCCACCTGCCATACTGTGGTACAGTTTAGCCTGGTGTCTGCTCCAAGACAACATATAAAGGCTATATCTTTAAACCAACCTTCTGGAGAAGGTTGGCTTCCCAAGTGGCTTGGTTGTCAAGAATCCACCTGCCGATGCAGGAGACATAGGAGACAAGGGTTCAGTCTCTGAGCTGGGAAGAGCCCCTGAAGGAGGAAGTGGCAACCCACTCCAGTATTCTTGCCTGGAGAATCCCATGGAGAGACGAGCCTTGTGGGCTACAGTCCATGGGGTCACAAAAGAATTAGCATGACTGAGCAACTGAGCATATGCATACATATTAGACAAGGCTAAGGCATCAAGTGCAGATTGTGGTGTTCCAGGTTAGAGCCTCCACTTTCTGACACTCAGGGAGTCCATAGCTTAATTGTCAAGGCCAAACCTGTCAGCTGGCATGCCACCAGGCAACATTTCACACCCTACAGAGAGCTCCCAATCAGAGTTCCAGGGTAGAGACTTGGTGAAAAAATAGATTTCTTTGGTCCCAATGCAGTGCAGAGAAAAACCACATCAGTGGTCTAGTCCTTTATACCTATGGAATGACAACCA